GATTCCACATGGATAACTATCTGAGTGTCAGTGGTTAATCTCTAACGTTCGGTAGTGGAATTGGTCCTTTGACTTGAGGTCGTCATGGTACCTTATATGAGGACGGTCATACTTTGACGATATTGGATATTGCTCTGAAAAGGGCCGCTAATACGATATTGTTCGGGTACGTCAAGAATCGTATGAAGATTGTGATTGATCAATAAAGGATTTGTCACTCTTAGATAGTAAGAGATTATGATCTGCGTTTCATTCAATTAAGTCGATAACGAAATCATTGGCCAATGTGTACTCATAAGTCGAAAATGAGGTTTTGACTTATATTGACTTAATAGTGGAGTGAAAGATATGATCGATGATCGAGATTGACAAAATTTCATATCTCGTAATTGATCGGATCATATTGACGAAGAGATTATAGTTTCACGGTAAACGAACGAATTTCGTTTTGTCATACCACGTGACATTTCCCATCACATGTATTGCCCTGACACATTGCTAGATGTCAATTAGGGACGGCGAGTGTGAATTGACGATAAATTAAAAGGGTGTTTTAATTTATCAATTTTGATTAGATCAAAATAATATTTCACGTCGTTAGGCATCGTGATCGGAAACCTAATGGATCGCACGCAAAAGAAAATTGGAAGATTGCAAATAGGCAATTTGTTAATTTAATAATCGTTGGATAAATTAATTAATTGGATTTGTTATTTATATTCCCGAATTAATTAATTGGATTAATTAAATATTGGACCGGATCGGGCCGAGCCCGTTTGGGTTTATATAAATACATAGCTAGGGTTTGAGGTCCATATTGGTTTTCATTATTTTTGCTGGCACAAGAGAAAACCCTAGAAGCTGCAATCTTATTCTCTGTGTGGATTACCGTTGGAGGTTGGACAATTGGACAGTTGTGGTGGTGAATCAAGGTTGATGGAACGAAAAGAAAAGCAAAAGGATTGCAAATCTGGAAAAGGTACAATCTTATCACAATTTCTATCTAAATACAAAGGCGATTCTTGGTGGGAATCGAAAATTATTTTAAATTCCGCTGTGCATGTATAAGTAGATTCCCAACATGAAGAACAAAGAAAATACAGATTTTGGAGTTTTGGAATGCAAGGTAATTTAACTTTTTAAAAGATATTGGAATTTATTATTTCAAGTAAGTTTCTTGACCCGAAATTCATGTCAAAGAATGTTGCGAATTATTACATTTATAAATACCCACAAACATGACGTTATTTCATTAACATAACATTCAAAATATTCCAGAAAGAAGTAGAATTCTATCTACAGCTTAACCAACTTAGTTTTGGAGTTTAATTCCTTGAAGAAACTGTGTGCTATTTCATTATTTTCCGACTCTTTTTTTGCAGATCAGCCTTTCGAAATGTGGAGTACTCCCAGTGCCTGCAGCAGTTGCATGGACTGGAAGGAAACCCCAGAAGCCCATATCTTAAAATTTGATCTTCCGGTGTTGCAAAAGAAGATGTAAAACTCCAGCTGGTTCACGATGATTGAGTGCTCCACATGACTGCTGAAAGAAGAGACGAGAATTATGGTGAAAAGGGGGATTTTAAATGCCATTGTAAAGAGCGGATTGATGCCATGGGTATTTCAATAGAGAGTTTAGATTACCAGAAAATTCAGTTGTTGATCAAATAAATAAAGGCTTCCTTGCGAGATGGAGTGCTCGTTGTAACAGTGCCTAGAGATCAGCACAATAAAAGGAACAAGCCCGTGGAAATTGCCGGTGAAGGAGAAAATGCTGGATCTGGCACAGGAACTGGGCGTTTTGTTTGCTGCAAAGCTTGATTTGATTTTGGATTATATGTTCAACAAATCAGGGTCCCCATATTTGTTTGAGTTTTTGAAATGCTTTGTGCAATTAATTGTACTGTTTTAATCGCGTAAATAAATTTGTCACAATGAAAGACAATAGGGTTTGTGAGGCGGTCGGATGGATGGGTATTTACTTAAATTAATTTTAACCAAACATATTGTTATGTAATTTACCTTATTTTCACGACGTAGTGTTTAGTCTCGTTGACTTCAAAAATCAGTATGATCAAGTTGTCAACAGTTCCAATCACGTGTCACTTTTTCATATATTTATGCATCATCTATGTTTGCTATTGTTTGTACTCTAACGGTTAAGTCATTGTAAAAAATAAAAGATGATTGAATGCAAAATAAATAAATAAAAAGTAAAAAAGGATTATGTGTAGAGGTCAAAATACTTACCTCGAATGTAGAAAATAATTTGAACTAGAGGTTACAATACCTACCTTGCATATCATAGAAGAATGTAAGGAATGTGAGTTAAAATGTGCCATCTTGGCACATTATAAAGAAATGCATTTTAAATAAAATTAAGGTCACAATGATCATTTACCTAAATATTTGATTATCAATCTCCTACAATCCATCCTAAATCGCCTAAGTGAACCTGAAACATGACTCGCATCAATGATGAATACTAACTAGATCGATATTTTCTCTCACAAATGGATCTCAAGTGCAAACATTGAAAGCTTTTGGACTTCAAGTTCTAGAAATCAAAGAATTGGGACCCATCATCAAAAGGTTCAAAAGTTAGGGGATCTCAATGTTATTTATTTGAATTTTATAAGACATAAATTAAAGTTTTGTGACCCACTAAGTAAAAAGTTTGATGGCCATGGTACACTAAAGTGAACAGTACGGTGACCATGAGTGAAATTATCCTTTTCTTTTATATTTTTGTCCCCTATACTCCGTACTTTTAGATTGAATTGAACGTATATTTTCACTTCTGGTACAAGTACAGAAAAAATTGATGGAATTTTTATAGAGAAACACTTGATAGATTTTTATTGGTTTTTGACACAACAAATACAGAAATTAAACCGTACAAATTCTGTCAATACAACACCTGTATAATTTTTGTCAATAATTCTATGTACCAATGGAATTATTCATAAATTTAGCCCTCCTTTGGTAATAAATTTTCACTCCAAAAAATCTATTTAATTGATCTTTATTTTACTATTTCAATCGTCAATTTTAATTCTTCACTTATAAATAACATTCATTTTTCT